CGTATAATGCTGTCTGTCTTGCAATGCTTAGAGGAAGTCTGACAGACTTGTTAGTTGTCTCTTTGCTTAAGATTTGTTTTAAATTGGTGTAACTGGACTGATATAGTCCATTTACACCAATTTGCTATTTCTTGTAAGTAAATAACAGCTATGTTGGAATACATGCAAGTAATTATCCAGTTTATTATCGCAATCACCTTGACCTATTATACATATGAATACATACGTATCAAACGTTTAACCAATTTATAAAGCTTATAATTAAAATGGATGACATCAAATCAATCTTATTCACGAAAACAGAATCCGCCAAAATTTCTGAAACAAACCCAGCGTCAAGGATAGACTTTGCGTAGTCGTGGCCTTGGGCAAATCTAAAAAATACTTTGGGAAAGATTATACCATCAAGGATATTGAATCATTAAATCTGGCCGAGCAAGAAAAACTGTTTAATCTTTACGAAGTTCGATTCGGCAAAGAAATTGTCAAGACGTGGGGCAATGCAATTTTGAATCTATACGCACGGATTTTATGAATAGCCACGCCTATCGACCTTTTGGAATTTAATGTGGATTTAAAATCAGAAGAAAATCTAACCAAAGATTTAAAAGAGGACCCCATCATCAGACAAAGCATGGGTCACCTGCCGAGCAAGCTGTGCTACAAGTATGGTGCTTACTTTTCACCACTGGTGGCAACATTTATTACAACAAAACATTTGGCCATCAATAAAAGCATGTCTATTATAAAAGAAGATGTCAACAGAAGAGAAATAATTACCACTGGTTCCACCATCGAGTCCGGTGAAGCCACAGGTTCAGGTGGTCACCAAGAGTAAGAACCCTAAAAGAGTGGAACAGGGAAAATGCCTGGCGGAACATAATAAAAAGATGAAGCAACAGCTCGCTAGGTTGAAAATCAGAGAACCAAACCCGAAGCAAAATCCCTAAGTAAGTTCTACACAGAAAACAGAAACTTGATTCTGGGCGGACTGGTGATCGGTGTGTTGGCCCTCACATTGTTTTTAAAACAATCCGGATCTGAAAACTCGGAGAGAGGATCGATAACTGAAACAGCGCTAGAGTTTAAAGTTTGCAGGCTACTCGTTGCGATTTGTAAATTGTTGTTGTATCCTTCAAATGTACCAATACGTAAATCCATGTCCAAAGGCACCAAATACAAACTGGGCACCACCACAAAATTCTTAAATCCATGTCCAAAGGCACCAAATACAATCTGGGCACCACCACAAAATTCAACAGCGGTTTTGCATACTGCAATGAATCTTGAAACTGGTCAATTGACTGCTTCTTTGCTCTGTAATTTACCCTCTTGTAATTTTGTCGTGCTTGAGCGTATCTTTTCCTTCATATCATTAAAATTCTTAATTTGGGGCAAAATCAATACAAATTCTTCTTGAGACACGTCCCCGTCTTCAATAGTGTGAAAAACAGACTCATCAATGGTGTTTAGCTTGCCGTCTGCAAGCATTCTGATTTGATTGTGTTTCTTTGTTTTTGCCATCAACTGGAGACTGGCATATTTCAACAACATGTAACATCCAAATGCGCCTATAGCAATAGCTTCCATCACTAGCCCAACGGACACAGTGACGGCCCCTTATAAACCTGGAATACCTATGGCGGCTGGTTGTCATCTCTTTTTTATATTATACGCATTTTTAAAAATGTCTAGCTCGATCGTAATTTTACCATCTTTGTTGTTGATGATTTCTTCCCTTTCGTTTCTTAACGAAAATTCAAAACTCGTTATACATCCATTTACAAGTGGTTTAGCAGTGCTTTTGCTTGGGTCTAACACGCTCCACAACACATATGAAGGTTGTCCATTAAAATAATTAAAATGATTGTTCATTTCTTGGCAGTGTATCCAAAGCTCCTTAAAAGGGTTTGTGTTTATCTTCCCTTTGTAAATAATGTTTGAAACAAGCCTGCCTCTTGGTAAATTCAATAACTTGCCAACTTCTTTACCAATCGCAATCTGAGATTTCATCTGTCACCATAATTGTAACTAAATTGAAAATCGCGGTGGACTTTAAAACTCACACCCGGAATGGCATTTGAAATAAAATCAAACCAATCTACATTATAAAACCCCGGTGGAATGACTACACTCCTGCATTCTCCAGCTTGTAAAAAAATTCCAGGTGTTTCTCTCTTCTGCAACTCCCGCAGGATCGGGACATTTTTAGAACCCGTAATTAAAGGAGCATACCCTGGTTCGGTTTGAGCAGCTCTGATGATTCTCGTTCGTTTGCCTACAAACCCTTTGCGAATAAATTCTAAAGCTATGCTGCGGGCTTCTATACAAATATCAATTTGTGCTAGAGTTAAAGCATCAGATATTCTATCAAAGTGGCAATTTTTTTATTAAATTTCCAAGAACTCCATATTCCCTTTTTAAATATACTATTTGTCTGTTGAGGTCATTTATTTTTTGGTTCAATGAGGTGCTGTATTCATCTAGACTTCCTGCCTCATAAGCTCGAATATAATCTCTGATTATGTCATAAAACAAAAACGAAGTATCTACCTCTACTTCTGAGAACAGCACTCTAATGTCGTTTAACTGGTCTATTAAACTTATATCAATATCTTGTGTATTAGGTCTGATATTTGCTGGGCTTGGTGGATCGGGTATTTCACTCATTTTGCTCAGTCTCCTTCCAGTAGGACTTCCTCTGACCTGAGTTTGCCATTCGATTTCAGTGGATTTTGTAAAGTTAAAATATCCCGGGTAAAAACTTACTTTTTGACTTGTACGGCCTTGTCACCTTTTAAATTATCAATGGCATTTTCTAATTCAAACGTCTGCTCACTTTCGGTCAAATAAAAAGAATGAGTTTCTGTGTCTGTTTTATAATAAACAGTTTTAAATAAGACCTTCTTCTTCATAAAGTTTACATTTTCATAACGGCATGTTCCTAATGTTTATCCGAAACTTGAAATGGGTCTTTTACTTTGTCTACCGTTTCTTCCATCATGTCTTGATAATAGACGGCAATAAAGGCGCGAAGTGGTTTTCCTCTAGAGATCTTGCCTCCTAAAATTTGGTTTAGTTTGTGTTCTATGCCACCCGCTTCATCTTCCGTCAGTTGAATGTCTAGTTGTTTGAGTATTTTGTTTGTTTTAGATTTGGGCTTTTTATAAACAAAACGCTGATTGTATTTGCCGCCTACGTTTTCTACTTCAAAGTCTGTATAAGGCTGTAATCTTTTACAACAATCGTGGCAATTCACAAATTCCTTTTCTATTCTTTTATTGATGTGCGGACATGTGTCTTCTTCGGTTTTACATAAGTTCCTGATGTTTTTTTTTTGTTAATTAAAGCATACAACTCTCGTACACCTGGCGGTAGAAAATAGCTGGTCATCATCTTTTATAAATAGTATTAATTCTTTTAAATAAAAATAACCTCATTATCCCAGTGGACAATGAGGCTTTAGAGTCAAATTTTAATATACGTTAATTACTCCAGGTCGCTGTTATCACTATAGGATCCATTAAAAATTGCAATGCTATTGTGTTTTTGAATTTATGTGTTAAGAGATATTTTTCACTTTCTTAAGCCACAGGGACATGGCGAGTTTTCTTTTCTATAAAAACAAGTTGATAAATAATGATAAACAACTCTCTTTTTTACCAGAGAGTTTGCTTTTGCAATTCTGGCGGGGTCAAATGGTCCATGGACAACGTTTGGATTTTTATTATAAGCATTGAGATGTCCATGGTCGTCGGTTATAAGTTTGGTTTGACATGATTCTTATTTTATATCAGATGTAATAATTTTTTATCATTTTTTTTTCGGCTTAATCTGCCACGTCTATTAAACGTGCGTAATGGTCTTCGGTTAATGGTAGTGCTGGAGGAGTCATACTTATTTCTACATCTTTGTCATGTTCAATTATCAAACCAAGTTTTCCTACATCTTTATCCAAGTCAGATTCTTCATATTGGGATCATATTCTCTTTTCAATCTCATCCTTTTGTAGCAACCATAACCACTATCATCTTCGTATACAAATACTAAATATGATTCACCAGATAAATCACAGCAGTTGATGCAACAAAAACAATCTTTGCAGCTTTCACAATCGATAAAGAGTTTACATTCGATGCATTTTTCACAGTGCTGACAGTTATTAGAATTATCAAAACCAACACATTGTTAACAATCACCACAGTTCAAGCAATCTTGCATCTTTCACAACTGTTCTTGTTTTCACAATCATCACAGTTTTCACAATTTTTACAATCTATGCACGCGATGCAGTTTTACAATCGTTGATGCCTTAACATCCAATGCAAGTTTCACAGTTAAAACAATTATGAGAATTTTCACGATTAGTGCATTCTTTGCAATTAACATTACATGTGCAATCTTCGCAATCATCACATATTTCGTGGTCATTGCAAATATCACATTCGGAGCAAGATTTACAATATTTGCAATCTACACAATCGTTACATTGATCGATATGTATAGAGTTTAAACAATGTTTAGAATCACGAGCATCTATCACGTTAAGAGACTGACTTGTGTTTTTGCAAAAATAACAATTAACATTGGTTTTCTGGTTTGGCATCTCTGTTTTAATATACATTGAGAGAATTTTTTGTAATTTTTCTTAAACCCCATTCTTCATTTTTGGAGGGTGTTTTTTTCATTTTTCCCAAGGTGGGAGAGGGCCCGAGAAAGGGGTGAGGAGGGTCAGGTAGGTATACAGGAGAAAAGTCGATCTGAAACTCTCTTCCTATACTACTGGAAGTGTGTTATATACATGTAATTTATAATCTGAAAGCACACCTTTATTTTACAAAACCAATTCAGGAAGTGTTAATACCAATTTGGCAAACTTTCAAGAAAATATGTGGCCTTAAATATTGGGACATAGTGTAACATAAAACAAATCAAACATGATTTCAGTTGCACAAGGTGACCAGGGTATCCTATGCATGATGTCCAATACTTTTCCCTACCTTTCCAGGGACTGTAGCTAATGGCAAATAACCGTTGACCAAATTCTGGTAAGTTATACTCTCGAACATATTTTCCAGAGTCAGCCTCAAAGCATTGTATCCGTCCATTTTCCCGATCAGCAACACAAAGTTGCTGCCTGCTTGGGACAAATGTCAGGCTGTGAGGTATGGAGAAGGTGCTTGGCTCCGGGTCAATGGAAAGTTCTCTGCCTACAAAATTAAGAAGATGATCTCACTAAATATTTATCACAAACAAATTACTTAATACATACACGGTAATTAATTTATGGGAAAACTGGCAATCTTAATAATACAATACTGGAAACTATCAATCAAAGGGACGACTTTGGCCCATTAACAATGACATTATGATGATGCTCTCATGTACAAACTGACCTCACAAGTCACATGACATCCCTTCAAATTAATACACGTAAAACACAAATTACTTTGGAACCAGAAGTATAATCCAAATGAAGGAGCAATTGCAGAATACCCCGCCACTCCAAAAAAACGACCCGTGGAATGACTTGTTACGTGGGTACGAGGTGAAAATTCCTTGAGAAGAGAGTCACACTATGACCTGTACCTGGCTATGGCATTGATCATGTGAGGTGGTGGGATATTCTGCAATTGAGCCCACATGAATCCTGAAGATGCATGGATGAGTTACAAGTGGAAACTGAGGTGATGCCACCACGACATCATCAAGAGATGTACTATTAATGTGGCAACACTTAAAGGTCAATTACTCTGGAACTACAAGTCTGATCCTTATGAATCTATGCATAGACATATGCAGGGATGTATTGTATCTATAAGTCAAAGTGATATCAAAATGATGTCTTTAAAGGTCAAGATACCTGTTAAAATTGTAACAATAAAATACAATTTCACAAAACTTCAATTCCCATGAATTGTTGCACTTGTTGAGGGAAGGACTTTACAAATATGAAATTGGGGAGATATTTGGATGACATCACCAAAAGCCATGTAATACCCCTTGAAATTTTTTCAAAAAACACATTGAGACCAATTACTCCAGAACTGAGTCCAATCCATGTGACTCTTTGTACATGTAAATCTAGGAATGTAATGAGTAGTATTACATTCCCTTTAACCCTATCCATATCATATTGAAATTTGAGAATATGGGACTGTTAGAAAGCATTTAAATCCCATTACCATGGAGCTGTAAGTGCTATCCTCATGAATTTGGTTTGCAAATCATTCTATAAATAAATGGTCCAAAGTGGGACATATAGGCCAAAAGTTTGATAACTGTTTACTACCCTGTAGCATTATGGTTTAGGGAACATTTAAACAATTGGGAATGTTCCCATTCCATTGGACTGGTCACACTGGAATGCTGGCATTTCCATCCGAACGTGCCCGCATCGCAGGCACGTTCCAGACCGTTCCAGGCAGCGTTCCATTGGGAATAAGTGTCTCTAGTGGAACAGTCCTGCTGTTACAATCGCAATCAGGAATAAAGATTTTTGGCATTCACTTCCTAAAGTCTGTGTCTGAAGGACGGTAGCTGGAGTGTTGTATTTTGTCATTTATTCCTTATGAGGGTTAACTTCTCTCCCGTTTTTCTCTTCCACATTCACCATGACAAATCTTAACAATGAATTTAGAGTATATCTGGACACAGTTAATTTTATTGTGTTAATGTTAATGTCTGTACTCACAAGTGTTTTATTCATTGTCGGGTTTGTGTGATAGAGGGAATCATCATCGCAATGTTTCACACTTAAGTATTCCATCATATCAGAAACAATTTGGAAACCTAACCTGCAACTTAAGGGGTGTGGGGTGAGGTATCCAAATATCACGAACAAGGTTGAATGACACGACTAAGACAATTAAGCTCGGCACTGGCACACTGATACACACAGCGACATATACTCTGCATGAAGCCAGCAAGCAGTGATTCTCACTTTTGTATCTCTGTTAAAAACAAAATTTCCATAATCACATTAACAAATTTTTCCACATCACATTTCCATCTCAGGTTTACTTACAATTCTTATTCAAAATTAGGCCTATCATAAACCAAAGTAGATTACCTACGCTCGTTTGTCATGGCGGGCTCCGTTTTTGGACATTGCCTAAGATTTGTACATGGGCGATATGAAGCTACCCGAATGAGGATGCTCCGATGGGAACGTGTACTGTTCTCACAAAGGAGCACCGTGTGGAATGTCTCGTTCCCAACAGAGCAGCTGTCCATTCCAGAATGAGAACAGGGAGTTCCAATGGGAACATTCCAACCGTTCCAAATTTTGAGATGCTCCCTTATGTTCCCTTATATACAATGTTTACACATATACGTATACCACTATTTTATGTGAACAAATGAGGCACGAGGTTTGGCCAGGATACCTTCAATTGTTACACGGTATAAAACTGAAGTGACACATATGGTGCACTATAAAGCTGGCCTAATTCCTGGTTGATTCTACCTCTTCTGCTGAATTTCTAAACTATGATGTTGTATGATTCTTTTTTTAATTATTACAAATGACGGATTTTATATTGCGGTTTCACATGCAACAAACTGGGAGATGAAAAATTAACGTGTGATACCAATACTGCCAGTGGCTTGTCAGGAAAATATCATTACCTAACTTGCTGTAACACTTTTGTAAATGAAGAACAATTGATACAAAATCCTTTTAGCTAGAAAAATGAATTCTTTAAAACTGCCAGCACCCTGCGAACTTAGGTATTTGTTCTTTTTTTTTTTAATGAACGCTTTGTGATCATATGCTGTTTGTCAAAAGACAAAGCATGATGAAAGTATGTAACTTTTTCCCTGAAAACCCTCCCAGTAGCCATGGTTGATAAACTTATAACAATCACCAAGTGAAAAGTTTTCCACTTGAAAGCTTCACTAGGAGAACTGAACTGCTAAAAGAGCCGTTTTGTTAATTGAATCATGTCCAGTGTTTTTCTCCTTTTAGGAGAAACTGCTTCCATATTATTTTTGAGTGCATAATTTAATAATAGTTTTGTGAGTTCTCTCAAAACTTTAAAAAAGGCAAGCAACCAGACACAGCAAATCCCTCCCCCATGTGTGGGAGGGTCTGTTCGTGAATACCTATCCCAAACAGTCGCTGTAATACGCAAATTTCCTTTGCACCCTATTTTATTAGCTAAAACTTGATGCATTGTAGCACCACCGCCATGTTCTTCCTTTTTTTGGTATGAAACCATCTGACCAAATTGGGGGAGGACGGGTGGGTGCCAACTGTTTGGGGTAGGTATTCATTAGCAGACAATCCCAGGAGTCTATTGCATTTATCCTACCCCTAACAATCACTATATGATGCAGAATAGCACCGTTCCCCAGAGGGCGTTGGTGAGGATGCACTATTTAAGAGAGAGAAGTGTGTGGTCAGAAGAGAGATATAAGCTTGGGGGGAAGGAAACATAATGCGGACTCAACAGAAATAGGGCTGTTGGGTAGTTCTGCTAGTGGTCCGCCCTGATGAGGAGTCCCTTGACTTTGGCGTGGCTGATGACAGGACCGTCCTTCTATGTGAATAGTCTCTTTGCAAGACATCAGTGAGGTGTACGTCAATGGAGTTTTCCAACATCCTGCATAGCATATTTCCTCCATTGGAACACCCCAGAAATAGGCCCAGGAGGCAGACACTGCTCTGATATCAAGGCCCCTGATGAGGCATTGAGTTTAATCGTCTGAAGAGTCTGGACACTCAGGGTTGGCAAATCTGATGGCCAAGACCACCCATCTGGTTATAATGTCCCTGGTTGTTTCTCTGTGGGGCTTATCCTTGTGATGAAAAGTTGCAGTGTTGTCTCTCTCAACTCTCTGGTCATGGCTAACAACTATTTGAGAGTTCTGTAAGTACTGGACATCAGGGCTTTTCGTCTGGAGTTCTGGCATGCTCGGTTATGTTTACAACAAATAAAATCAGGAGGATGGAAGGTAATCAACTGATTCTTGATGAGGAAATCCAGAGCTGGGAAGAGGTGCATGCTGTGGGGTGCCCACCCGATGTGGCCATCAGCGATGGATAATGACTTCAGCTCGCTGCTACGGTGTGAGGTGGTAACCACCAGCAGGAGGGATAACTTCACTGTGCTGTGTAGTTACGAGGCCTCACTGAGGGGTTCAAATGGTGGGTCTGCAAGCTGGACAGAGAACAGGTTTCAGGAAGGGATCAATCATTTGGTAGGAGATGATTAAGAGCGCCCATATCTGATAACCCTGGTTTCCATGAAGTCGTAACCAACGCCAACGGCACGCAAGACGTCAAGATGCAGAGTCCTGGAAGGGAGATGCTGCATGACATAATTCCACCAAAAAATTGAACAAAAAGGCGTCAACACATAAACAGTTTTTACAAAAAAATGCATCTTCAGGTTGCAATGTCACCCCTTGAAGCCAAGCTGATACTCAAGTTTGATGTAACTTGTTAATGGTCAGCAATTTTGTTGACAATTGGAGCTGCATATGCTAGCAATAAGGAGAAATTGGACAAAATAAGTGGTACTAAGTGAGAGGAACATTGTTGTCTGCCCGTCATGAGAGTGTGTGTGTTTGTATAGGTCCACTCAGTGATAGTAAAAGTTGAACCAGGCTCAAATTTCGGATCCATCTTGGGCTGGTTTGCATATGTCTGGGTCAGGGTTTTACCTGGGGTACTGATATGTGTGAGGTGATTCAACAAATTTTGCCCAAATTCTAGTGCCTAAAACAAAAGCGAGTGCTTTTTAAAAAAGCCTAAAATAAAATCTATATATAGTCTAATAGTACATTTACTCCAGATTTCTTGTCTTCTGTGCCCTTCCTTATCATTCTGAATGATTGAAACTGATTGATTCAAAATATCTAACTTATTTAGCTTTTTCCTTCCATATTTGTTTATTTTAAGTATGAGGTGGTAAAATTCAACAGAAAATCCTGAGGCGGTCACTGAAATCAGTGAGGTGGACTGCCTCACACTTTAATAGGCAGGGGAAACACTGGCCTGGGTTATTGGTGACACTCCATTAGACATGTTTCTATATGTCTGCATTGCAGTTTGCATCTTGATTGCATTGCCCTCTGCATTTCTTATGGAAACTGGGCTATGGAGTTGAACCATCAGGGAAGCCATTGTGTATACCTACGATGGCAGGCTGGTAGTTGTGGATGGTCGCTACCTGTAGGCCTGATTTGAACAGGTACCCGAAGAAATCAAACTGCAGTGGTCATAGGAGCTTCAGTCAGAGTAAGCTCTGCACACTATGAAGTGAAATGTCGTAGTCTGCTAATGTACATGCTATTTGTGTCCGGTTCTTGTGGCCATCTCGGTAGCTTCCTCAGAAAGGACGCTGATCAGTACAATTGTCTGAAATTGGCCAGCAAGTCAGGTGTAGGGATGCCGGCTGAGTGCAAAGTATGCCCAACTTCGGTTGGAGGAGGAGGTCTGGTCTGGAGGGCAGGATGAGTGGCGTCTGTACAGGTAGTCTGGTTAAGTGGGAGAACCAAGGCTGGCATGGCCAAAACGTGGTGATGAGAAGTATACTGCAATGTTTCCTTTGATTGTGGAAAGCACTGCCAGGATCAGGCGGGAAAGAGTAGGCCAGCATACTTTCCCAGTTGATTTGGAGAGCGTTTATTGCCCAGGCCTGTGGGTGCTGAAACCTGATGCAGAACACTGGCAGTTGAGTGTTCTCAGCTGAGGCAAACATCTGCTATGCTGTGGTGTAGGATCCACTCTGTTGGTTGTATTTTTCCTTGACGGAGGGCATCTGCGACTCCTTGGATGTGTGTCACTTGACGCTCGATCTCTTGGTCTTGTGCCTGTCTTGTCTGGAGGCACAGGCAAGGTGAATGAATTTATATGGTCTACTTTAGGCCACTACATGGAGTATGATACCGAGTGTATACGGACGTGTTTGCCCCTGATGCTTGAGCAGAAGTATTGTAGTGTGTTGATTGTTGCTTGGAGTTCTAGCACATTGATATAGCTCCCTTGGAATTTAGGTCCCATGTTCCCAATGTCTGGTCTGGGGGCAGGGAAAGCCCCAATCAGAGGTGGCATACACCCGTAGTTATTATTACCTCTGGGTTTGCCTTTGGGAAGGGCTATCCCCTGAGTTAGATGCCCTCTCATCTCCCCCACTGCAGATGAAGTCCATTATAGAGATTGGTAGATCGATGGAGTCCTAAGGACACTAGCAGATGCTAGCAGTTGTAGCGGTCTCACGTACAGTTGACAAAGGGGAACCAGGTACACCATCATCGAGGCCATCATCGAGGAGACGTAGCCAAGCTTGGGTGGGGGCCGGTTGCACTCTAGTAGGTTGTCGATGTAACAACAACATAGAGTAGAGGGCCTCACGGATGGACACTGCGTCATGCGTGTTGCATGCATTTGCATGGCATTTCTGACGAGTGATGTTACTGCGCGAAATTAACTCGTAAACAAAGTAATTTCAAGCAAAACAATAGGTAAAAATATAAAATAACCACAAAGCTTATTTTTTGGTAAATCGTATTTCATTGAGAAAAAATGTAGTGTCGTATTGTCACTGAAAAATCATATAAAATACCATAAAATTGTACTGGTTGGCAGCTCTGCATTACTCTGCACTGGTACACATTGAACTGTGGTACTCTGCTGAACTGAGCATTACATAAAATATGATAATATCTTTTTGAAACATACTTTCATAAAAGGATCAATGCATTTATGTATGAGACCAAGTGGACAAAAACCCTCTCAAGAGTAGTGGGGATTTCTAAGCAAATATTTCGTATTTTTGGTTTCTGCTTTGCCTTTGAGAAAGATTCTGCATGGATTGAAACATCAGGGCTTCCCATCATTTTCCTTTGTATACCACAGTTAGCAATATGCACAAGTCTTGGTATTTTACATTTCCTCAAGTAGTGCTGGAAGAGTTGGAACTAATGCATATTTCCATTGTCAAGAAGTTCACACTGTCTACTGCCCGCGTCTTCTTCCTCTTATTTTCTACATCAGGAGGTGGACATATCATCGGCGTCACCATGAAGTTACGCATCATGGAAAGTTGCCGCACCACAAACTAATGTATCATGTGTACAAAGTCTATGGGCAGTACGTCACGTGGTGCACCAAACTATCCTATATGTCACTTCATGGTGAACCCGATGATATGTTACAATCCCAATAATGAGGCAGTTTTTAGCATGACTGCACTCACTTCACTCTGTTACTATTAACGCGGACTACAACTAGCCTTGTCCCTAGCTTCTGGCATTCGGGGCACATCCAACAAACAATAAGTCTGATTCTTATGTTTTTTTGTGGATTGGGGAGCTGCTTGTCAGAAGGGCCTGGTCTGTCCAAAATCCCTAGCCCCTCCAGGCCCCCCTTGGTGAAAGGCATGATGATTAAGAGGTGGGTTGCGAAAGGCTATTTGTGCAAAAAACACAGACCGGCAATCGTTACTATAACTGGCCTTTAGGTAGAAACAAATTGTAAGCAGCACCTGGAACATGACTTTAGGCTATAAAGTCAAATCTCGATAACAAAAACACTGTTAATACAACATTTTGCAATTGCTTGGAAATTTTTGTGGTCCCATTCACTCATTTTTCATTTTTTTGGTTCCTTACAATACAAGGTTCCTATTATGACAAGGTAATCTGCAAAGTTCAAAGGATCTCTCACAGATATGTTCACCCACCGCAGCCGGTACACCACTGAGTTAATACACGGGTTTGTATGGGATTGCACACGATGGGCGAGTCACGTTCTGGTTGCGTCTCCTAAGACTATGGCTTTGGATTTAAATCAAATGGTGAAGAGACATTGCCATTGTTTTTCTGGAGATATGCTGCATTTCCAGGGTGTTTCAAAAAAGGTACATGTAATCCAACTTAAAGGGGTTAATTCGACCATACTTTATAACCTTTAAGCAAGGATCATGGTATCACTTTAAAAGTAGAGATTCTACGTGTTAAAATGACACAAGGGTTTCTTGACCAGGGCCATGCATGATTGAGTACCACCACCTAGAATTTAGGGTGCAAAAATGTGGTTGGTTCACTTTCATGTGGAACAAAATCAACACAAATTCTCATTTAATGAAAGATTATTTATTCATTTAGCACACATTCATCAACAGCCGTCCTGAGTGACCTCTGTTTCTGTTTAAGCTGGTTCCATGTGTTTCATACTTTTAACATTGGCCCAGATTGTTTTCTTTGCTGGTGATTCTCTGTCTCTGAACGCTTCGTGAAAAGCATCCTGTGTGGCTGGCAAACTTTTGGTTTCTTAAAATGTCTTCACCACAAAAATTCTCTGCTCAGTGGTTTGCTGCACCATTGTGATACGAAGCTTGTTTGATGGCCAGAATGGACATGCCAGGCCTTTTGAATAAACCCCACTGCATATTAACCAGGCAAGACATTATTCACAATCAAGGTGTGGCAGTTAGTCAAGTGGATTGTGACGAGGCTCAATAAGTGAACCAGTGCCATTTTGGTGTCATGATTTCAATCCATTGGTATTCACTTATGCAATAACATGATTTGGCAAGAAAGGTGTCATTTGAAAGCTCTTATCTTCAATTTTATTGCTGTGGCCCTCAAAATGCTGTGTGAGATGTCATATAGCTATATTAATCCCTTAAAGTTGGATCACCTGTTTTTGAAACACCCTGTATATCTTTACAAAGGACATTAGTCATGATATACATGATGAAACCAAAAGGGCTACATTTTGTTGAAGTGATATTGAGTAATTTTATGCAACACTGCAACTCAGTGTCCACAGAAGCCAGTATTGATAAATTATAAAGCAATTTTTATCAAAACCATTTAATCCTACAGAATTCTATAATATTCGAATATCAACTCGACTTTTGGTTATGTAATGACTTGTTGTGCCAGAATAAAATCACAGCATGAACCAAATTTAAGTTCCTGAATCTGGGTTTAAAAAAATGAAGCCACGTAATGAGCATCAGGATGGCCTTTAATTCAGCGCTGGCTTCACCTTTATGTGTTTCGAATTCTTGGGGAAACTCCAGATGCAAGAATATCATGATTTATTTTACAAGAAAAAACGAAATCAATTAATTTCACTATTCAAAATTATTGCTGCATTAGATGACTGAATAACATGAATTACATCAGACAACTTCTTCGAACTGAAGTTCTGGTGATTTCCCAGACTATTTCTATTTATTTTACCATGGGTAACCCTGATCCCTAAATGTCCTGTTTCAGAGAGACCAAAACAATGTATCGACATGTGCAAGTCCACACCATGTCTTCTTAGGCCACTTTATGTGGACTTTTTTGTATAGAGGTCTACACTATGTACATGTATAACACTCTTGCTCCAAACATGCAAAACAGAAGACAAGGTAGAAAAAAGTATGCCCCTGCAGCTTTGCAGGCAGGGAATAAAAAATGAAATATAAAAAGACAAGAAATTTTCATTGAATAAACTGCACAGAAAAAAAGACAATTATGGCTGCTTTAAACAGCCACTGAAAGAAAAGGACAGAAAATGTATGGGAAGGTGCACACTCAGGTTAGGCTGTTTGTGAACTGGGCACTCGATCAGTCAGAATATGTATTAGTTGTGGTTCCATATGACCGCAGAAGAATTCAGTGATGTAGGTCACTACTACAGCACTGGAAGACCAGGAATTGTGAAAATAATCACTGGTCTTTTACTGATTCTTATACCATTTCTTTTGGATGTAAAAACAAAGAATTTTTGTATTTATCGGAAAATTTCTGGTTATGGCAAAATGAAACTAATAGAGATAGGGCTGACAACTGCAAATTAGAATTATTTACTATTCAAAGCAATGCCTAGGGTTATAAATTGAGAGTATTCATACCAACATAGGATGATGCCTTCCCCCATTCCAAAATGTAATCCCCTCCAGCGGAGAATTTCACAATCCTACTGTTACAATAGCCATCGGCTACAAAGATATCTCCAGTCATTACATCCACAGCTACATCCGTAGGCTTGCAGAAATGATCTGTGCCACTGCCTGGCTGTAACTCTGTTCCTAAAGACAGTAAGGGCTTGTCTCCACCCCCAGGAGGGAACTTGAATACCTGGTGGAGTGCAACATCTGTAAGCCACATGTTCCCTTCACTGTCAATAGATAGTCCATGTGGCATGAAAAACCTTTGAAAGTAAAAAAGAACACACACAAATTGCTTGACCGTAAAATTCAAGAGCTCTTAGTCATGCAAATTTGTCAAGATGTAAACACCACTAACTTTTACACCACTAACACCGCCAACTTTTTCTAGAGACTTAACTGAAGATAATAAATTTCCCCTCTACATGTACCTTATGCCACAACCTCCCAAAGGTTTAACTAGCAGCTCAAGGAGTGGCAAAGCAACATGAGAACATAACACAGGGCATTGAGGTATACATGTGCATATACATTTGGACATGCTTGGTAGTTCAGTATTGGCAACCAAGTACAAGGCACTTGGTTAACCCTCAAAGAGCTGGGGGGGGGCAGAATCTGTCCCCCATGTTGATTTTTGCTTATAGCATCTCCAGGATTAATTTCTGCATGATTATACTTTATGACAATGTTTTCCAACGTATTAGCCTCAGTCTGACCCCAAATTTATGAAAATTAGACATGGCATTCTCTCTCAGCGAAGAAGTTTAGGAGGCAGGGTGAAGCATGATGTGAAATTTACCACTGACTTTGTACACAGACGTACAATGTACAAAGGGCAGTGGTTTCCTTTTGTCAGGAAGTCTCTTGCGTTGGGGAAGGTCTATTTATTGTATAATTAACTTATGAATATTTATGTATACAGCTCATAGCATCTCTGGTTTCATTTCCACTGAATATCCAATCTATACAGCATCTTTGATGTAAAAAATGCAATAAAATTGCCCGACAATCAAAAGAAGATAAACAAATTGGTTTCATGAATAAGTAATGATAGCATGTATGCCTCTGTGGCACTGCCAAATAGCATTGAAATACATCATCGTATGGCCGAGATCTGAGGGGGGCAGATTCCGCTCCCCCCCCAAAAAAAACGGCTCTTTGAGGGTTAAATCCACACACTCTGCTGAAGTTGAGCTTTTCCTACCATCTAAAAAATTTAGAGTATTCACTGAAAATACATAATACCAACTCCAGTGGCGATGGCTGCCACTTACAGGTTTTCTCCCCACTGGTGTTTTATCTTTCCAGTTGCCTTGTCAAACACCAACACTGTACTATTTTTGATGCGTCCCTTATCTGCATTCAAGAAACGGTTGTCTGCACTAAAAGTCCTGTACACATCATGGCATGAACAAAAAGTAAAAAAATAATCTTAAAACTCAATTTAAAAAACAACACCAATTCATTCCTCCCCCACAGTAGTGTGAAATGAGTCTGCTCGTGAATACCTACCCAAGCATTCATTATGCATACAAATTTCCCTATACACCTTCTGCCATTTGCCAAAACCTTGATCAATTGTAGTGAGCCCTCTATTATCACAACGCATAGTGGTGCTGCCGCCATGTCCATCTTTCGTTTTCAGAGCTCAGGACCTGAGCCAGAGTGAGGAGGACAGGAGGGCGTCAACTGTTTGGGTAGGTATTTGTTAGAAGACTCATCCCACACTATTGTGGGGGAGGAGTCCACTATGCTCATTCTCCCAAACAGTCACTGTATATGCAGAGTAGCACCATACTCTAAAAGAGTGATCGCGAAGACGTACTGAAAGTGAGGAATACTGTATGGAATGATGACCCACCGAGGATAGCAGGAGGCCATCAGGAAAAGCTAGAGGTGGATCCTTGTGGTCTCAGTGAAGAGGGTTGTATTGTCTTGCTATGAAGAACTTGTCGCAAGACTTTATTCGGGTGGCATGAGGTGAATGATGAAAGTGTTTCCCAGTACGCTGCCCTGAGGATATCTTCTAAAGGACACCACCAAAGATGTCAGTAAGGTACATAGTGCTCTAATGTCTGAGCTGCAACAGGGTGGCTCGGTTTGTGATTTGGGAAATTTGACCATTTGGAACAGGCAAACTAGCCCTGGTGTCTCTGATTAATGCTCGATGAGGTTTAGTGGGGTAATGACAGAAGAAGAGGGATAGCACTATGAAATTTTGATCGGTTAAAATAGGGTTAAATGTCATTTTTAAAGTATTCCACGCTGGTTTTAACCCTGTTTTAACTGCATTGATCAAGCCAAAACGTTCGCTCCATTTTAACCATGTTTCCACCGAACCCACAACCCTTTGTTATTCAAGCTTTAATCTTCTGGTCCATCAACAGTCCAAACGAACAGTCACCCATTTTAGCCGTGTTTTAACGGCGGAGAGATGGTGTGCTACAAACCGCAGAGTCCCGTGGGATAATTCCACTTATTACCTAATAAAGGAGCGGTTTAGGGGGAAATGTCAATCATTTTCCTTACATTCAACAATTTTCAAGATGTAATTTTTTTTTTTTTTTTTGCGTTGGGGAGATGTTAATTATATATAACAGGTTCTGCCCTTACCCAACGTATATTAACAAGCACTGTATGCTCAGTGCTTGTCCGAGAGCT